CCAGCACCATCCCCAGGCCCTTCTGCTGCCACCAGGCCAGTGCCACCCCCAGAGGCAGCAGGCACAGCAGCCCTCCAGCAGCAGGACACGCACACACGGCCCAGGCCTGCAATGCCAAAGTGCTCGTCTTTATTCAAGCTGGGAAAAGCAGCCCCTGCCCCAAAGACAGCGGGGCTGGCACCACAGGGCTCCAGCCCAGCAGCACCCAGCAGGAGCAGCTGCCACTGCTGCTGTCACCCCAGCTGGGCATGGTACAGGCAGGGATGGGAGGGGACATCAGGAGATGGGTCCAGCAGCCAGAAGCGAGGGGCAAGTCCTGCTTGGGAATTTCAGGGTTTCAAGCCCAGCGACTGTAAGAAGAAAACAAACAAGCACATCATGTGGTGTAACTTTCCCCATCCCTCTCTTCCCCAGCCCTGCAATGCCCAGGGTGTGGTGCAGCAGACTCAGGCTCAGGGCAGGTGAGGTGCAGTCCTTGGTGCAGACAGGTTGGACCTGGGCTATCTCAGTGCTGGCAGCCCTGGCTCCAGCTCTGTGCAGGTGCAGCAGGACCTGGATCATGTCCTGAGTGCTGCACAAGGGCTGTGAAAGTTTCTTTTGTGGCTTGGGTTAATCCTCTGCAAATCCTACATGAACACTCTGGAACTAGAGGAGACTGGGGAGGTCCTGGCTGACCTGGAGTTCCTGAAGCCCCAATGAAAGGTGATCAAACCCACAGGGACTTTCCACTTTCTTCTTGAGCCTGGCTCTCAAAGCATAAATTCAGGAGAGTATTTATCATGGGTTTTCAAAAAAGAAATCTGTAACAGATCTTTCTGAGAAAAAAGGAAGAAAATCTTTCTTCACTCAAGGATCTGCTCCTTACCTTTTGCAGCACGCAAGGCCAGGTGAGCATCTTCCCGCGAAACTTGTACCCCGGGGGCAAATACGCCTAGTGCAGAAGCCCCGTTGTTTCCAGCAGCTATTTGCACTGCCTGTTCCCATGGGGAAGGAAACACACAGAGAACAATTAAAGTAATAATCGGAGAGGGCAGAGAGTGGCTATAGACAGGTTGATGCTTCCTGGTGCTGGTGCATTTCAGGCCAAGACAAGGGCTCATTTCCAACCTCCTCCCAGTCAAATCTTCAACTGCAATGTTTCTCACCTGGAAGGTCCCTGTAGCCCTAAAGTGAGGGCACTCCTGAGCAGAGAGTGGAAAGGACCTACGTGTGGTCGAGGAAGAGCCGTGCTGACTCCCAGCTGCATTCCCATCTCAGCAGAGCTGGCAGGCAACATTCCACGTCCCCGACCCACAGAACAAGCCAGGATTCTGTTTCCATGGGCTCTCTCCAGCCCAAATTGGTGTCCATTTCTAGAAACCCCTTTCACCTCAGTCCCTTCTTATCTTCTCATCACCCCCACAAACACAGTCACTTCCAGGGACTTTGAATTGCCCCTGGTGCAGGTTTACACTTTCCCCATTTCCCCTCTTCCCTCTCACCTGCAGCACCCTGGGCCAACAGGAGGATCAGGGGGAAGAGCAGGAACAGGATCTTCATGGCTGCTGCCTCTCCTGGGTCTTCACAGGGCTGCAGAGGGGACACCAAGGCAATGGGGACATGCAGGGCCCTGTGAGGGCAGGATTCTGGAAAGAGACCCCACACTCACCTGCCTGGAGAAGGTCAGGGTGTTGAGGCAGCAGCAAACCCACCAGGAATGGCTGTGTCCAGATGCCCTTGGGGCCAGGGAATGCTGCTTTGCCCCAAACAGGCTGGATTTATAGCAGTGCTGGTGGGTGGGACAGGCCCCAATTGCTGCTGGCACAAGTGGCCTGGGCCAACCCAGGAGTGCCCCATGTGTGTGGGGGGGTGCTGGGGCTGGCCCTGCTCCCTCCCTGCTGCAGGGGCAGGGGCTGAGGTGTCTCGTGGGGCTGTTGCAATCAATGTCACCGTTGTCCCCATGCAACACCTCTTGTGACACCCATGGCACAGCAGCAACGGGCTGTGGGGCCAGCTGGGAAATCCTTGGGATGGGTACAGGAACTGGGGGTGGGGGCACAGGCACCAGAGCAGTCTTGGGGGAACTGAGTCCTTCTTCCAGAGATTCATTCTGGACTGGTTTGGGTTGGAAGGGACCTGAAAGCATGTAAGATTCCACCCCTTGCTATGGGCAGGGATACCTTCTGCTCTCCCAGGTTGCTCCAAGCCCTGTCCAACCTGGCCTTTAACACTTCTAATGATGTAGTATCCACAGCTTCTCTGGGTAACCTGTGCCAGGGCCTCATCACCCTCAGAGCCAAGCATTTCTTCCCAATATCTGGTGTAACCCTGTCCTGTCAGTTTGAAGCCATTCTCCCTTTTCCTGTCACTCCAGGCCCTGGCCCAAAGTCCCTTTCCAGCTCTTTTGGATCTCCTTGGGCCACTGGATGGGGCTTCAAGATCTCCCCAGTCCCTTCTCCAGGCTGGACACCCCCAGATAACTCAATGTCTATGTTTTTGGCATGTATGAGTCTGCTTTTTGAGTAAGGCAGAAAATGAAATATTCTTTTGAGCCTTCTGCTTCCTTACTCCATCACTGGGCAGAGTTTTGCTGCCAAGCCATGGCCCTGAGACAAATCTGAAATATTTTGTCAGTGATGTCATGTGTTTTGGAGAAAGACAGTTGCAGGATAGAGGCATCTTCATAGGAAGTGAGAGGTGGATGAAGTTACCCAATACAACAGGATAGAAGCAAATGCCAATAAACAACAGCCTGGCATGTCTGCCAACTGCTTTGTACCCAGCTGGAAAATTGGAATTGGCCAGGGTGGTATCCTTGGATAGAGAAATCTTTATCAGTAGAACCAGAGCCACTCACTATGAACACACATGTTCATGAATCATGATGATGGAGGCATTTTCCAGAGAGGGTAAGGTCAGCCTTAGCAGAGGAAAGGCATTCTAACCTCAAGTTGTGTCCGGGTGGGTGGAGAGGAGAAGACCCCCAGCTCCCACCCTGCAGGACTACCCAGGTTACCCATCTGATCCATAGGACACCTTTGTGATGTCACCTTGAGGGACACCTGCACAACTCCCCTGGGAGATCTGTTTTCATCTAAAGCCCACAAAAGTCTCCCTGAGGTGTCCCCATGGGATCATCCCAAGTGCTAATGAGGGCAAGGGAGTCCCTCCCTGCCATGCGGTGGGATGGGGTGTGGAGCAGCAGAGCTCCCAGCAGGGTCTCTGTCACAGGGGACCAAGGGCCTCCAGTTGGGGAATGAGAGGTATTAACCATTCGTGTTTTCCCACAAAAAGATATCTGCACAGTAAGAAATTAGGGATTTTGGCATCTGGACACATTCCCACAAAGGGAAGCTGAGCTCTTTTGGCCAGCCTTTCTCTTGGCACTGTAGGTTAAGGTCTGTGTAGACCTGGAGAGCTGTATGGCTCAGAAAAACTCAAATTAAGGAGCAGTTTGCACCATAAATTGTTGCCCTCTGGGGTTTGTGTGTCAAATCCCAGGCAGGATCATGACCCAAGTTTTAATGCATTTTTCAGTGACCAATGCTAAACAATAACAATTTATTCAGAAGGAGGGAAAGCAATGCAGAGCACATTTGGGTTTACTCTATATCATAAAGCCTTTTGCATTGGCAATGAAAGGAGTTTGTTTGCAGCAGGATCCAGTGGGTTTAGGAGTAAGGAGATTCCATGCAAATTTGTAGGTTTAGAAGAAATTTTCATTGCTCTTCAATGAATGGCTCATCAACATTTCTTAAGTTCCATGGCCTGCAAAAAGGAAAAAAAATCAGATTGTCTTTCTGTTTATATTCCTTCCCTACTCACTCTCAGCCCATGCTTTTTTCCCTCCTGGACACAAATTCTTCCCAAAATAGTTCATGTCATTTGTAGTCATGCTGGGACAGCCGTCTGCAATCATAACTGTGAGAAAGGAGACTGTTTCCCTGTTGTTTCAGGAAAAGCAGGGAATTAAATTGGTATCCTTAGATTCTGGGGCGAGTGCATTCATTCATGACTGAAAATAGAAGCCTGTTTTTCATATGATAATTTAATTTTATAACAAATTTTACAACAAAAATTTCACCCTGTGCCTGAGAGCATTTTCCAAATATTTCTTTGGCAGCATTAACACTTGAGTCAACACAGAACACTTGACTATCATCATGGCATAATAGCTCTTTTTTCCCCTTATACCAAATTTAAATATTCAGGAGCACCTTGGGGTTTAGGAGACAGGCAAAATATTTAATATTTCTCTGCTCATCCTGCAGATGAGCCTTGGTGAACACCAAACTCACGGTTTGCAGCAGGAGCGGAACCCAAAGCAACTCCCAACTTTAACCAGGTGGAAGGGACATCCTCCAAAGTGACAGCTCCCTCCTCTACAGAATATCATTTCCCTCCGGGGCGAAGACAAACCTGCAACAAGAACAAAATATTTCCTTCCCCCTTGCTCTGCAGGGCAGGGAATTGCAGTGGAAGAGTTTCTCATTCCTTTGTCACCAATGACCCATCCTGGCTCTTTCAAAAGGCCGTGTGGGTGGTGAGGTTACAAAGCAGGTCTAGCACAAGCACTGGGCTGATTGATTCATTCCTGACTGGCTTCTAGCAATTTGAAACAGAAGTGTTTAAATGTGCTGGGAATTTTGCACAAAAATCCCTTTCTAGCATCTCTTTCCCATCTTACCTGGAGAAACCTGGAGCGCCAAGAAGAGGAGGGAAAAGAGCAGGTAAAGGATCTTCATGGCTGAGGATTTGCTGTGGCACTGTTGGGAAAAGCACCAAGAAAGACTAAAGACAGACTGTTCCTGGGATCTGCAGTCTCCTGAACACTGTGTTAATAAAAATTACATTTATATTAATTTTGTCTTCATGCTTTCAAAAATAATCACTAAAACCCCCATAGGAAATCCTGACTATTGTGTGGGGCAAAATGTTTTCAGGACATGTGATCATTAAGTTACTTTAATAGTTTGGTTGCTCAGATTTCTTTTCCATTTTGCAAATAGTCCTTAGTAAGGACACAATGATGGGATCCCAGAATGGTTTGGATTGGAAGGAACCTTGAAACTCATCTTGTTCCACCCCCTGGGGCTAAGATAACTTCCACTAGACCAGTTTGTTCAAAATTCCATCCAACCTGGTCTTGAATATTTCCTTAACTTTATTGTTAGCTAAATGATTTAACCTAGTAAATAAACAACATAAAACAAAATTAGGTGAAAATACTGTAAAAACTACAAACTTCAGGAAAAAATAAGTTCATTTTATAATGTTTAAATTTATCAAGAAATCAATTTGCTCAAAGTCTCCAGTCTTAGTCTACAGGCAGCAGATCTAGAATGGAAATCTACCATCAAATAAATTCCCATTTGAAAATAAAATTTCAAAAGCAAACATATGATACCTTCATTGGAAGAGTTTAAACTAATATTAGGGTTTTTAGGATAAGATAGCCTATAAGAGCACTTATGGATAAAGGAGGGGCAGTTAATGTTTCATATCCTGGAATGAGGAATGTTCTGATCTGTCAGAAATGATGGTCTCTCAAGCAAGGAATGGAAGTGAGATTGTGCTGAAATATGGTGACCCAAAACCGTTTCAAAATTAGTATTAGAAATTTACCTAATTTTCTATATACTTGGAAATATCAGGAGAAATAAGGAGACAAAGTGAACAATTCTGAAAATGAAATAAGGGTTTTAACATAAAATATGTATTATATACCATATTAAAATATAAAAATATATAAATAATATATAATTTTATACTTATTAAGCCTTATGCAAATATTTTATTACTATTTATAATATGTTTATATTCCACAGCTATATATTTAATGGAAATATACAGATAGAGACATGTACATTTCTACTGAGAGGTCAGGAATTTCTCTGTACCACAGACCTCTCTAAAGTAACCCAAACCAAACATTTATTTTTTCTTAGGATTTAGGAAGCAGAGATGTTTATTAAAGCTTTCTATATATTAGCATATATTTGAACTACTTATTCAACATGTCCAGTTTTCTGAAATCTTAAGTTTACCTTTTCTAGTTACAGTACAAATTAAAGTTAATAACACGGAGGTTTGGGAGTTTGTTTTGGAGTTGAGTTTTTGAGGAAAAAAATAAAGCTGACATCGAAAAGAACTGAGACATTACCAGGTATCAGGTGAGCCCTGAAGCCAAACACGACTTGCTCGTGGTCCCTTCCCTCCTGAAGACTTTGGCTCTGGGACTGGGATACTCTTTTATAAGGTGAGTCCCAAAAGAGACTGACAGGTTCTTTCTCTTCTCAGACATACATTGAACCAATCCAAAAAATGCTTTTTTATTCCTGGTGGCATCTAACCCAACCAGAAACCAGCTGCTTTTCATTTCCCAATTATACAACAGGGTTTCTCCCCTAACTTGTTTACACTTTTTTCCTGGAAAATCCCATGTTTCTCGTGCAATACCTCTTGTGACACTCCAGTTTGTGTAAGAGACGTTAACCCACCATGGTGTATGTCAAATATCTTGGGACATAAGTTGAACTGTCCCTGCTTAGGAGCAACTTAAAACCTTGCAATACAATCCCAGTTAATTTTCTGTTCCATAAATACAGAATATAAGAACACAGAATGGATATGTGGAACTAAAACAAATGTCCATTGGCTTCCCAGACAATGGCCACTGAAGATGCCTGAGTGAAACAAAATGTAGAAAAATAAATATACCAAAATACCAAAATACATTGTAGTTATGTCCCTGGACACACAGCTGATGGGAAATATGTAAATTTATTCAAATCCAATGCCAGAGGATGTCTTTGGACTCTCAGGCCCCAAAGCTCCTGCTTGAGTTTTTTTTTCCAGGACTCTGGTTGATTTTTTGATACTTCTGGCTTCCAGTTATCATTCCAAAACTACATTATG